GAGAGGGAGAGAGAGAGAGAGAGACTGCAGGTATATAAAATAACAAGATTGTCTCAAGTTTTAGCAACTCTCTCTGATATTAATAATGAAATATTTTAAGCTATATAAAACAAATAATTACATTGAAAAAGTAGTTATTCATTAATACGAATTATTTTTATATCTACAAATTTTTTATCTAAAAGTCCTGGAAATTGTTTATAAAAAATTTATGAAGTATTGTATAAATATTTAAGTTATATTCTTAGATTTTCAATTTCGATTCTAAATAATAAGATGAAATAAATATTGCCGATTCTGATGATAGATTAATGCGAGCATGAAAACCGATAACAGAGTGAGAGAGAGAGAGAGAGAGAGAGAGAGAGAGAGAGAAAGAAAGAGAGAGAGAGACAGAGATAATAGAAGAATAAAAAATGTCAAGAGATGAGAAGAAGAACCTCAGACAAGATAAACAATGAAAGTATAGCAAACAAGATAAAAGTATAGAACATAAGCAGAAAATTAGTAAAAACAATTGAACTGATAAGAGCAAAACCTTGAAAATGAGAAGTATCGATAAGGTTGATATTCTTTGCGATTTCTTAACAAAACTTTCTTATATACATACATGCGCATACATATTTATATATAAATTGAATTGCAATCTTATCAATATCCGATTTTCATAATTTCTAGCATCACAAAGCTACAGGAAATTCATGAATTTATATATATGTATAAACGTATATCTGGAAGCTAAAAAAAAATTATATACTTTAATTTTAAAATGTCATTAAATTGTCATTAAATGATTGGCAGTCATATAAACAATAATAAATAGCTAGCAAAACTCTGTGACGTCATGGACTAGTCGAAAAAACTGTTGCCTACCTTTTGGGGCAGACAAAGGACCAAGTGCAAATGCAACAAGACATACAAGTCATATAGAGAAACCAGGTGAGAGAGAGAGAGACAGATGGCGAGAGTAAGAGATGGCCAGAGATAGAGAGCGAGTGAGAGCTTGCGTTTGCGCTTCTGACCCCAGCAGGCGACCCAGTAACAAGGACTTTGTTTCCTTTGCCCGCCTGCTATCACTTCCGGAATTTTGCTGCGCCGAACAACAACACCAGAAACTTTGCATACGACTGTCGTGGCGAACGGTGCAGGTGAATTCGTTGGTCACTGAATGATGGTTATCGCATTGTAGGATCCTGAATGCTGCCGCTGGGCTGTAGCCAATCCTGATCTATACGAATCATGGCACCAAATTCTATACAAAGCGGCTAACTGGCCAACGGCTCTGTGTCTGTGTCTCTGTGCGAGTGAGTGTTTGTGTATATTTGCGTACCGGTGTGGTAGTGTGTGTGTGTGCGTAGGCGTAAGTGGCCGTGTGTGTGTGTGTGTGTGTGTGCAGCGCAATGTATGTAAGCATCTGGTGCCATAGCTTGAACCTAAGCAGCCGCAGCCTGGCCATTGTCCTGGTGGTCTGCGTGACGCTCGTCTACTTCTCGTACAGCTTCAATGCCTGCCTCCTGGCCAGCATCAGTCGCACCCTGCAGCAGGTGAGTCTCGCTGCAGATTGGAAAATCTCTACAGCTGAGTATTTCTTGGCCTTTTCTCTAGCAGAGCAACCTACGCAATTTGCTGACGCTGCAGCAGCGCAACGCTAGCAGCGCAGCCGAGGCCAACAGAGTCACCAATACCAGCAGAAGCGCCAATGGCAACTCCAGCTCTAGCACCAGCGCTAGCCCCAGCTCCAACTCCAGCTCCAGCTCCAGCTCTAGCTCCAGCTCCAGTACGACTGCTCTCTTGAATAGCACCGTTAGCAATGGCGTTACCAGCGTCGATGGCGCGCCCAAGTATCAAATGCTGCGCCAGCAGGGCCTGCGTCCCTCTCGCCATCTGCCCGACACGCTGATCATCGGCGTGAAAAAGAGCGGCACGAGGGCCTTGCTGGAGTTCATACGGCTGCATCCGGATGTGCGCGCCGCCGGCTCCGAGGTGCACTTCTTCGACAGGCACTACCAGCGCGGACTGCGCTGGTATCGCCACCACATGCCCTACACCATCGAGGGCCAAATCACCATGGAGAAGACGCCCAGCTACTTTGTCACCAAGGAGGTGCCGCAGCGCGTTTACCATATGAACACGGCCACCAAGTGAGTGCTGAGACTGTAGGTCTCCTCAAAAACAAATGAATTATATATTTGTGGTATATATGGAAAATGTAGTATATAGTATATACTGGGAGAGAGTGGGTCTAATATGATGATGCCAATAGTTTTCGAAGCACTGATTTGCCTTCTTGCTGAAAACATCATAATATTTGGCAAATGAATTTTAAAGTATTTAAAACCCTCTCTGAAAAGCTTCAGCAGTCAATGATTTCATATATTATATGTAGGATTCTTTGGATTATGTGCAAGTCCACATTTTTCTAAAAGCTATGCTTTGGGACTTTTATCTATAGTATATATACATATATATAGTCCATTGATCCATGATATGATATAGATTACCAATCAAATTAAACATGTTTCCTGTGGAATTTCAATTTCTTCCTTTGAGAATGTCCATATAACAATTGTTTTGTCTTTTATGGAGATTCGCAACATTTGTTATGCAATATTTAAAAATTTTTTTAGAATGGAGTTCGAATTATCAAAAATTGATTAAACATAGCTAAGAGTCTATATTTTACATGATAAATGTGTTTGAAGCATCGTAAATAACTGTTGACCGATGTCTACGAATAAGTGTCTTATTAATACTCTGAGAAAAAGAGAGCATATTGAGCAACCGAAGTTTTTTGAGTACTACTAGCTTACACATACTAAGTTCGAATTCAGTACGAACATCAATCGCATCGCTCCCTAACCGATGTTCGTTAGAAGATCAGCACACGAATAGTTCAGTCCAAAGCGCTCAGGAGAAAAAAAAAGGAACGAATAGAACCGAAGATTCTTACACAGAGCGACATTCTACATAGATTTAGTCAGTATAGTAAATAAAGTATGTTTCCTGTAGTCTCTGAAATAAAAGTTCAGTACACAGAATTAGAAATCCTTCCTATAGAAATCAAAAATCGTCTAAGACAAAATTAGTTCTTTGTAAACGAGCTAGCACTAAGCACAACGATATATATATTATATATGTATATGTAATTATACCCAAAAGTTTTTCTCTCTTTCTTTCTCTGCCTCCCTTTTCCATCTAGACTCTTAATTGTGGTGCGAGATCCGGTGACTCGCGCCATCTCGGACTATACGCAGGCGGCTAGCAAGAAGGCGGACATGAAGCGCTTCGAGCAGCTGGCCTTTGTGAACGGCAGCTACTCGGTGGTGGACACCAATTGGGGACCGGTCAAGATTGGCGTCTATGCGCGCTATTTGGAGCACTGGCTGCTGTACTTTCCGCTGTCGCAGCTGCTCTTCATTAGCGGCGAGCGGTTGATCATGGATCCGGCCTATGAGATTGGGCGTGTTCAGGACTTTTTGGGTCTGAAGCGTGTGGTGACCGAGAAGCATTTCTATTTCAATGCCACCAAAGGATTTCCCTGTCTATTCAAATCGGAGGCACGATCCACGCCCCATTGCCTGGGCAAGACCAAGGGTAGGAATCATCCGCATATCGATGCCAATGCAATTGAACGGCTACGGGAGTTTTATAGGCCGTTCAATAATAAGTTTTATCAACTGACTGGCATTAACTTTGCTTGGCCCTAAACGTGAGACAGAGAGAGAGAGAGAGAGAGAGAGAGAGAGAGAGAGAGAGAGAGAGAGAGAGAGGGAGAGAGAGATGTTGTTGCTGCGGTATTTGGCAACAGACTGATATTGTTGATTGCATTTTTTTATACATACCATTGTTCTTATACATAGAAGATATATACACCCAATTATATATACATACATACATATATAGTATTTGCATGGCTATGCAGTGAGAAAGATACGTTACGTAATCCTGTGACGTCAGTGCTCAATTAAATGCAACAATACAACAGACAAATCGAACAATACTCACACTACTAAACGGTTCCTTCTCTCAACGCACACGCACACACACACACACTAATACACTGCAACAACTACAAAATCCTACTATATACATGCATACATGCATATATACGTACATATATGAACGCATAGACAAATAGAGCTTAATATGAATTCCTACAGAGTATGAGCAGCTAATTGAACAGAGAGCTACGCCTCCACATCCTAATCTAATTAATTATGAAATATGAAATACATATAAATGAAATGTACTGATAGCATTCGATTAGGCACAGCACATGCACACACATAATCCCTACATTTAAATGATATGCAATTTATACATACATACTTACAAACATACATATATACAACTACAAGTACATCTACATCTACATCATCATATATATATATATATTGACATATATTATATATATGCATAGCTCAAGATCTAAATTGCATGTTACGAAATGGCCTAGCTGAACAAATTTCAATTATTACAATTTAATAA